GGGTTGGGGGAGCAGAAGAAGAAGCGGGCTCCGCGCTGAGCAAAGAGCCCGATGTGGGACTTGCTCCCAGGACCCTGGGATCATCACCTGAGCCAAAGGCAGACGCTTAACCGACTGAGCCACCCACGTGCACGTTTTCTTAATAGAAATATGTATGTCTCTAGTACAAGTAATAGAGATGTTATTTTGAAGTTGCCACCTATTGTAACCTAGATGCATTTTTCCGAAAATTCTTGAGGAAATTAGGATCCTTTAACAAGCCCTCATTTGAAAGGTCTGTAAGCAGGTCTAGAGAGTTGTGCACAGCTAAACAGTTATAGAACAGCACTGGGATTGGTCTGTGGATACCTATCCCATTCAAGGCCTTACTACTTAGCCATGCTACAGTGTGTTCTTCATCTTTTTTGCTGCAAAGCTTTGTCTTTTGAGGGTAGTTTTAATTTTTGAAAACCACCAGAACACTTTGAGAGGCCCAGCCACAAATAAGATGATCAAATTTAATAATCTGCTGGTGGTCCAAAATGAGTTGGCTTTGGCAAGAGTGTTTTCCTTGAGTGTGTGGCTAATAGCCTATAAATGCATTTTCAAAACTAAACCGAAAAAAGGACAACAGAATGATGGAATTAGAATATTTATTTGCTTCCTTTCACATCTACACAACAGTGTCAGAATAACAACCCAAATACTACCATTACTGATTATGATCACTGAAAAGTTTATAATTTTTTTTTTAAAGATTTTATTTATTTATTTGACAGAGAGAGACACAGCGAGAGAGGGAACACAAGCAGGGGGAGTGGGAGAGGGAGAAGCAGGCTTCCCGCAGAGCAGGAAGCCCGATGCGGGACTCTATCCCAGGACCCTGGGATCATGACCTGAGCCGAAGGCAGCCGCTTAACGACTGAGCCACCCAGGCACCCCAAAGTTTATAGTTTTTTTAAGTTTATTTTTCAATTTTTTTTGTAACCTCTACACCCAATGTGGGGCTCGAATTCACAACCCTGAGATCAAGAATTGCATGTTCTTCCAACTGAGCCAACCAGGTGCCCCCAGTTTGAAATTTTTTAATTGAATATATTTTCCTCATTCTGGTCCCTGCCCCCCCTTTCAGTTGTATTAAGTCTTCATAAGTTCCTTGTGGGATCACATAGGCATTATATATTGTATTCTCTCAACCTCATTTAGACTTGATTTTCTAAGTAGCTGTGTGTTTAATGCTTACCACCCATCTTATATCTAAGTCTTGCTGATCATTTTGTTCTGAATTTGTGCTTTAGTTCCAGAGGTGGCAAAAATTTTTCTGCCAAGGACTGGATAGTAAACATTTAGGCTTTGAAGGCCAAAAGTGATTCTATTCCATATTGTGTATGTGTGTGTGTGTGTGTCTGTTTGTGTGTTTATTTTTTTTAAGGATTTTATTTGAGAGAAAGAGAGAAAGACCACGAGATGGGGGAGGATCAGAGGGAGAAGCAGATTCCCTGCTGAGCAGGGAGCCAGATGCAGGACTCCATGCTGGGACTCCAGGATCATGTTTATGTGTTTAACACCCCTTTAAAACCATTCCTAGCTCGAGGACTATAGAGAAATACCTCTGGCTACAGTTTGTCAACCCTGCTCTATAGTTTCCTCAAGAAGGGCTCATGGAGGGGCGCCTGGGTGGCTCAGTTGGTTAAGCGACTGCCTTCGGTTCAGGTCATGATCCTGGAGTCCCGGGATCGAGTCCCGCATGGGGCTCCCTGCTCGGCGGGGAGTCTGCTTCTCCCTCTGACCCTCCCGCCTCTCATGTGCTCTCTCTCTCTCAAATAAATAAATAAAATCTTTAAAAAAAAAAAAAAAAAGGAAGAAGAAGAAGGGCTCATGGAGTCAGTATTCCAGTGTTGCTGGATATAAATTCCTTGTTCATATATAGGTGAGCCATATATAAAAAGTTTGAGTTACATATTTAAAATACGTACCTTCAGGGGCGCCTGGGTGGCTCAGTCGTTAAGCGTCTGCCTTCGGCTCAGGTCATGGTCCCGGGGTCCTGGGATCGAGCCCCGCATCGGGCTCCCCGCTCCGCGGGAAGCCTGCTTCTCCCTCTCCCAGTCCCCTGCTTGTGTTCCCTCTCTCGCTGTATCTCTCTCTGTCAAATAAATAAAATCTTTAAAAAAATAAAAAATAAAAAAAATAAAATATGTACCTTCATTTTCTCTTGGCATAAAACATTGCAGTTGCAGTCTCATGATAGCCTAATTTTATTTTCCTTATAAGTTACTTGGACGTTTTTGCCTAGATGCCCAAGGGATTTATTTCTTTTTCTTTACAGTCCAGTTGGTGTTGGTCATTCTGGGTTGATATTCTCAGGTATGTGATGTGTTTTTCAGTATGTAGTTTTGAGTAATTTTTTCAGTTTTTTTTTTCTTTTTTTTAGAATAAAAAGATAAGGCAGACCTTTATGTATCTGATGTTTAAATATATCGATGATACATGCCTTTTTTTAACCTTATATAATTTTTTATTTTAAACCATTTCATTTTTTTTCCAGCTTAATTGAGATATAATTGACAGATAAAATAGTATATATTTAAGGTATACCACATGTTTTGGTATACATATACATTGTGAAATTATTACCTCAACCAAGCTAATTAACACATCTGTCACCTCATTTACCTTGTATGTGTTGAGATCACTTAAGATCTATTCTCTTAAAAGATTTCAAGAATACAATACAGTATTAACTATAGTTACCATGCTGAAATTATATCTCCAGAACTTAATTCAACCCTGCATGATTGAAATTTTTTACTCTCAAAAGTTTTCTTGATTTACATGTACTTTTTAGTATTTGTTTCATTTCCTTGCATTGGTTTTCTTGCTACAGAATTCCTGATACCCAAATATTGGATCTTTGCTTAGGTTAAGCACATAATATTTACCACTATCTCTCAAATGCTCTATCTCCTAATTCTCTTTGTTGCCTTATTTCTGAGTTTCCTAATTCTGATTTAGGCTATTCTCTCATTTTCTTAATGACTTTTAGCTCATTTGCAATAAGATAGTTTTGATTTGGTTCCTGGGCATGTCTTTCTGGTATGCTTTCATTGTCTGAAATGGATGTTTTTCTGTTCCTTATTCTCTTTATGTGAAGGTTTTTCTAACTTTTTAGAAGGAGGTGCTATTCAAGATGGTTTTTCTGGCTTCACATAACTCCTCAAATACATAAACTCCTGTTGGACACTATTACTCTCTTTTTCATGCTCATTTTTATGTACTTGCTTTTTATCACAATAACCACCCAAAACTCAGCTTGACAAAGATACATCAAAAAGATGTGGAGCAGTCCTGTTGAAACTAAAGGACATCCGGCTAGTGGTGTGCTTAGAGGTTGACCTAGGTCAAACATTGCCATATGTTTCACATGTAAGATGGCCCGTGGTGCCCCTTGAGTTTGCTGTGCTGCCTGTGTGACTTTTGGGTTTACAGCTGGGGTGGTGCTACTCTTCTGGAGAGACGACACTTGAGAAACCAACTGGGAAGACCTTTAACTTCTTTTTTTCTTAAAAACTAGAAGTACAGAAGAAAGATTTTCAAAGTTGTACTACCGGCCAAGAAGAAAATTTCTTCCTTTGGACCCATGTACTCAGATAGGCAAGCAGATTGATTAAAAAGAATTTAATATATTCAGATTAAACACTTTGGAAACAGGTGTGTGCATGCATTGGCGCATGTATGTGTGTGAGAGAATGAACGGGCTTGCTTCAAGATGCACGTACACTTAAATGTATGATGTGTTTCTTTGCCTTAATCTAGTAGTCTTACTGGGGGAAAAAACTACAACCACACTGAGTTGATGAAAAGGGACAATAGAGAGCATGCTTGCATGCTTATTGACCTTGATGTTTAAGGACATTTGTTGGTAAATATTTGGACTTGCCTTTATGACCTGCCACAGTGAATATGATTGACTGCTGGTTTCAGATGCAGTCAATCAGCCTGCCAGATAATGTTTTTATAAGAAAACTGTGTGTCTTTATCAAGAGAAGGCAGGCAAATCTTGATTCCTCCACACGATTCACCCTACACAGAATCTTGGGAGGTGGTTCTCAGTAAAACTTGACCCTAATTTATACTGTAATGAAGAGTAAAAAAGAGCAATCACCTGCTTACAGGTAGAACTTCCCTCAGGCTAGTTAGTGGGAGATTGTGCTCTCCTCTCCTAAGTGCATTATAATCTATCAGGATAAAAAGTGAAGCACTGGAAAATGCACTGAGCAGACGTGCCTCCTGCTGCCCTCCATACCATTTCTCCTTTCAGAATCCCAGCACCGGTGGGCAACCTTCTCTTACCCCTTCTACCTCCAACCCTTTTTCTGGATTCTTAAAAAATCTGGCAGTTGATATTATAGGCTGTATTGCTCGGTGATGTTCAGAGTCCTACAGAAAGCCAGAGCCCTGACGGATAGTTAACATCTAAGAGAAATGGGTACAGATTTAACCCAGCTGTTACTTTCCGTAGCAGAGGGATCTGTATGGATGAGGTAGCCAGAGTAGCAGCCTGGCTTTTCTCCAGGCTTATCATGGGCTTTCTAACATTTGGCTCTTTACAAACTGGCCTTCACGTTTTTATTAAAATATTTAGAAAAAAAGGAACGTGGATTCTGTTGAGCCATGCTTTCATAATAAGACTAGGTTTATAAATTATAAAGACAAATCCTAAATTAGAAGGGACCATAAAGATCAAGGTATTTCTCCCTTAAAAGAATTATCCTAGTTAATCAGAGACCAATTTTAACATTAGTATTTCAGTTAACCTGTCCTAGTAGAAAGTTAGAACCTGGAAACTCCTTTAAGCCACCTCTGCGGACATGGCTTCATACATGAACCTGGGAACATTGCCCTCAGTCGAGTTCTTGGCTTTTATGGACAGTAAATGTTTTATCTTCTAGTTGAGCTGAGTGACAGTGGAAGAAAGGCAGAAAAAGGAGCTGAGTGTATAATTGTGCTTTCCTCTCCTGTAGTGTGTTCCATGGGAAACGGTACGAGCAGACTCTATAGTGCTCTCGCCAAGGCACTGAACAGCAGTGCTGCCTCCCAGCACCCAGAATATTTGGTGTCACCTGACCCAGAACATCTGGAGCCCATTGATCCTAAAGAACTCCTCGAGGAATGCAGGGCTGTCCTGCACACTCGACCTCCCCGGTTCCAGAGGGATTTTGTGGATCTGAGGACAGATTGCCCCAGTAGCCACCCACCTATTCGGGTCATGCAATGGAACATCCTCGCCCAAGGTATGCCTGATGCTTTTGTACCTGAGCTGTGAAGTTTGCTATGACTGCCTGGAGCACTGATGTGTTATGTGGAGGGAGGAGGTGTGGGCAGATAGAGATGTAGGAGGATGAAGTGACTTGGGGCAGCACGAGGAGCTCCCAGAAGGGGAAGGTAAGAAAGAAGGCCGTCCGGTTTCCAGGAATAAATCCAGCACTCAAGATTTATACCTTACCTTCCATGTTTAAAGGACCCTGTCTTTTTTTTTTTTTTTTTTTTTTAAAGATTTTATTTATTTGACAGAGAGAGACACAGCGAGAGAGGGAACACAAGCAGGGGGAGAGGGAGAGGGAGAAGCAGGCTTCCCGCCGAGCAGGGAGCCCGATGCGGGGCTTGATCCCAGGACTCTGGGATCATGACCTGAGCTGAAGGCAGACGCTTAATGACTGAGCCACCCAGGTGCCCAGGACCCTGTCTTTTATCAGCCTCAAACTTTCTGTTGCCTCCAACTCCCAGTCCACAGCGCTAAGATAGCATTTGTAAGGGAGAAACAGAATCTGCTGAACGGGTAACAGGTCGAACTTTCTGCAAGGAATGGGAGCTCTGTGGGTGGCGGTGAGTCTGGGTCTCACTGCCAGATTCCCACCCATATGCGTCTGTATAACTTGAGGTCAAAGGGATATTGCTTTAGTTCTCTGTTGATTAAGATGTTCCTTTGTTATGGTAGAAAGGACACGTTTCCTAGGCCTGCTGAATTAAAAAGATGTATCATTGAACTCTGTAGTGTTGCCTTTCAATGTAGCAGTTGAAATCATAAGAAAAAGAAACAAAGGCAGCTTTTTAAAGAAGGGCATATACCCTGATTTTCAATTTTAGATTTGTTTTTCTTTCCCCTAGGTGTTCGTCCATAAGTAGGAAAAGCTGCCTATTTAAGATAGGTTCCATATCACTTCATATGGCTCGTTATAGGGTTAAAATTAGTGTATAGATGGGGCGCCTGGCTGGCTCAGTGAGTAGAGCATATGACATTACTTGTAGACATTACTTAAAATAGTCTTTTTTTAAAAAGTTAGTATATGGGTGCCTGGGAGGCTCAGTCGGTTGAGTGGCTGCTTTTGGCTCAGATCATGATACCAGGGTGTTGGGATTGAGACCCCCATCGGGCTCCCTGCTCAGTAGCAAGTCTGCTTCTCCCTCTACCCCTCCCCCTGCTCGTGATCTCTCGCTCCCTCACCCTCTCAAATAAAGTAAAATCTTTAAAAAGAAAGTTTGCATATGAAGTTAAATATATTTATTTCATCTGACATAGTTTCTACCCCAGGAATTGTAAAGAACACTGTTTAAGGCTCAAACTTAAAAATCGCAAGATTTTTTGTCCTAGAATATAGTCACACGAAACAGTTTTAATATGAAAGAAAATAAATTGCTTGCCTTATCTCTATATTAAGAGGTTATTTAGGTTGGTAGGTTTTGTTTTGGTTTTAGGGTTTTTTGGACGGAGAGAGAGAGAGAGCGCATGCATGTACGTGTACACATAAGCGGGGGGTGGGTAGAGGGAGAGAAAATCTGAAGCAGGCTCCACCCTCAAGAGCAGAGCCCAGTGCAGGGCTCAGTCTCACGGCCCTGAGACCATGATCTCAGCCAAAATCAAGAGTCGGACGCTTAACTGACTGAGCCACCCAGGCGCCCCAGTTTGGTTGGTTAATACAATTTAGACAGAAGAATCACCCAAAGTATCTTGAAGTAGAGAAAGCCTTCTGAGGGTCTTGAGTAGTGTTAAACTGAAGGAAACTTCCAGGTACTTAGCTACTATAGAACCATGACTTCTAAGTACCTGTGACAATTGACTGGCTTTTTTATTTCAGCTCTTGGAGAAGGAAAAGACAACTTTGTACAATGCCCTGTAGAAGCACTCAAGTGGGAAGAAAGGAAATGTCTCATCCTAGAAGAAATCCTAGCCTACCAGCCCGATATATTGTGCCTCCAAGAGGTGGACCACTATTTTGACACCTTCCAACCACTCCTCAGTAGATTGGGCTATCAAGGCACGTTTTTCCCAAAGCCCTGGTCACCTTGTCTAGATGTAGAACACAACAATGGACCAGATGGCTGTGCCTTGTTTTTCCTCCAGAACCGATTCAAGCTAGTCAACAGTGCCAATATTAGGCTGACAGCCATGACATTGAAAACCAATCAGGTGGCCATTGCACAAACTCTAGAATGCAAGGAGTCCAGTCGACAGTTCTGTATTGCTGTCACCCACTTAAAAGCACGTACTGGTTGGGAACGATTTCGCTCAGCTCAAGGCTGTGACCTCCTCCAGAACCTGCAGAACATCACTCAAGGAGCCAAGATTCCCCTTATTGTTTGTGGGGACTTCAATGCAGAGCCAACAGAGGAGGTCTACAAACACTTCGCTTCCTCCAGCCTCAACCTGAACAGTGCGTACAAGCTGCTGAGCCCTGATGGGCAGTCAGAACCCCCGTATACGACCTGGAAGATCCGGACGTCAGGGGAATGCCGGCACACGCTGGATTATATCTGGTACTCTAAACGTGCTCTGAGTGTGAGGGCAGCTCTTGATTTGCTCACTGAAGAACAGATTGGACCCAACCGGCTACCATCTTTTAATTATCCTTCAGACCACCTATCTCTAGTGTGTGACTTCACCTTTAATGAGGAACCTGATGGACTTTTATAAATGCTTGTCTTTTTAATCACAAGAGTCTTAACCAGGGATGTTTCAGGAAACTAAAATAGGATAAGAAGTTGCCCGAGGAAGGATTCCCAGTTTCTTTTGTCATTTTCCATGTTTCCAGCATGCCCTTGGGAAGGAATCCCATTAGTCCACAAACCTTTTCCATTAAACCTGCAGCAAAGAAGGTGTTTGCACTCCAGTTTTGGCTTGTATTATTTTCTTTCCCTTAGCATTACATTTGGATCATTTAAGGGCATTAAAAATGAGGCTTGTTTTGTAGCTTTTTCAGTTTAAGGATGCTTTATAAAAATAGACTTGCTTGAGTCCTCCATAATTAGTAAGTATATAGGAGCAATTTCTCTAGATAGCATTTCAAGTTATTTATTTGTAGTTTTTAAAATGTCAGCAAGATATGCATGGCAATATTTATTTTTTTATATTTTCATATAAGATTAAATAAATATAGCATTGTGAATGTTTTAAAACCATGCAAAACATAAGTTATAGAGTAATTTATAGTGATTTTCTTAAATCTCTAAGATCTTTTTATTTGGGGTCTAACAATAGTAGTGTATAAAGGGACTATGTAGCCTGACAGGGTTTTTTGTTTATTTAAGTGGAAATATCAGGTCTCCTTGATACTTTCTTCATAAGTAATCCTTGCTATGCCTCCATGTTCCCATTATTGTGTTTCTTAGATTCCATAGTCTTCATTATTGAATCACTGTTAGGCATTTATAGCTTTCCATTGGAATGCTATGATACACATTTGAGGTCACTCAGTGTCTGTTTGTATTGGACTGTGCTTTTCACACTAGGTTATTTAGGAACTCCTATGTGGCAGTAGCTAAGAAAGTAAGTGGGGCCTTCTTTTCAGAGATAGGAAACTAGAAAGCCTATTAATGAGGCTATTCTTAAAATCTCCTAAGAGAGCCAAGTGGCTAGTTCAAAATGTCTAGAAAGAAGAATGTTAAAAAGTTAGAAAGATAACTTGGAATTCTCTTCCATAAGAAATAAAAGCGGTACAAGATAACAGGTGAAGCCCCTTTCAAGCAAAATCCCAACAAATAACCTATTGGTAATAAATTGATAAATACTTTAACCCATGAGTTGTAAATACTTAAGAATAATAAATGGTCTTTTAAAGCTAGTGATTTTAATATCTTGTCTTTTTAGTCCAAAAAGAATCTGGGAGTAGATTTGATCTTTTAATACTGTTAACACGGTGACCCACTGTATCCATTTACACACAGACCTTCATTTTGCACATTGAAGGCACCTATGCCGTGCTTATGTAATGTCTCTAGGGGTCACGGGTGGAGTCCCACAAAATGGCTCACCCACATATTCTGCAGTGGAACTACTTTTGAGATAAATGAGGTTTTCAGTACATTGTATACAAAAAATCTTGGGGCTTCCTGGAAGGAATGGCTAGCTGGAAGAACATCTGTACCAACTGTCATTTGGTTCAAATCTTAGCATGATAATGGTACCATCATCGCTGTTGAGAAACCAAACACTGATTGAAACAGGCATTAAATATTGTTTGCGTACCCCAAGGTACACCAACCGGAAGAGAAACTATCACAACGGCCCTAAGAGAGCAAATCTAGATGAGAATGAAAGCGAAAATAATGTTTGCATTTCAAATGTTGTCCACCAATATATGAATTAACAGGCTATGGGTTGAGGGTGGCTGGGAATGCTAATGAGCAAAAAAGCTGGAAATAACCATGTGATTGTAATGTGCCTATACATTAAGGAAATAGGGCAAAAATAATGGAACTCTCCTTCAGTTATCCTTTGGAGTTAGGGCAGTATGCTTCTGTTTGATGGTTTTGTATTTGTCTTTATTTAAAATGGAGTTATGTGAGCATTTTATGTAAACGATTTTTAGTAGTATATTAAATCTTGTTGGATTGTACTTCATATTTTATTTTTCCTTTCAAGTCTTTGTAGACACCTTTGCCTTATGGACTATCAGAGTAACCAGAAACAGAATGGTAAGTAACAAATCTGTATTCTAAATTTTTGGGCATGTTCCATTTAATGAATTTCTCTTATTCCACCCCCCTGTACCTTTTGGTTCAGCTTTTCTTTTTATATCGCATAATATTTTAACCGTGGTCATAATAAGAGTCTTAAAAGAGAAGTAAATTGTGCGTATTTGAAGAGAGAATGAGAGTGGCAATGGATTTTTTTTTTCTTCCTCCATGCCATATTTCAGTAGATTGCCTTCTACAAGGTGAAAGGAATAGGAGTGACCACTTCATTCATTTAAGCAAAGAATAATGGTGTATACATAAGAACACATTTGAGTTCCTTACCTTTGGCTCCAAGAGTTTTCAATACGATCTTTCAACTACTCTGAATTAATTTTTTCTGCAACTACTCTTAATTTAAAATGGGGTGTAAAACATCAAATCATTTGACCAAAGCGACAGCTAATAGAAGGAGAGCCAGTATTCAGACCTAGGTCTGTCTTGACTCCAGAATGCTTGCTTCTTTCCCCACCAACATGTTCCCTTGGCCTTGAGTGAGTACAGCTGGAGACAAAAGTGATATGTGGGGGAGGAAGAGATCTGTTCAGTGAAAAATGGTCAAACATAAGGCAAATACTTCGTAGTACATATGCAATGTAGAATAGAAGCAAGATACAGAGGCCAAATCGCAGCTGAAAGAGCAGATCTCCGTTATTCTGATACAGTAAAGTAGTTACAAAGTAAAACATCTATTACTGTTTGCATACTTCTTTTTAGAAGGAAGCAGGAAGAACAGTTACTCTAATAGTGTTTCAAACTAGAGGAAGAAATTGATGTAAATATTCTATATTGGAGCCATTTTTTAAAACATCCAAGATTTTATAATAGTGAAGTGAATGTTGCATATAATTAGATAATGTGTTTTAGGCTTGAGGAAGTTTATATCCAGGATATAAATTCTAAAAAGAGATAAAAACACATGCTCATAATCCTAATTGATTTCAATTTTAGAAAAGGAAAGGCATCCAAAAAATGAATGTACTTGCAGAGCTTTTTTTAATGACAAGTATAAAAATACGGCACAGGCAAGCTTTCATCTAGAAGGGCTTAGATACCAGAGTGGGAGAGGACTGGAGCTTGGGCTTCTAAAACAAGCAGAGGGAAGGGGCGCCTGGGTGGCTCAGTCGCTAAGCATCTGCCTTCGGCTCAGGTCATGATCCCAGGGTCCTGGGATCGAGCCCCACATCGGGATCCCTGCTCGGCGGGAAGCCTGCTTCTCCCTCTCCCACTCCTCCTGCTTGTGTTCCCTCTCTGTGTCTCTGTCAGATAAATAAAATCTTTAATTAAAAAAAAAAATAAAAAAATAAAACAAGCGGAGGGAAAACAAGTAACATCAAACAGAGGGGCCCGGGCTCTAAGTGAAGACAGCTCTGACCAGCATAGCCCTCAACAGGTTGCTCCATCTCTAGGGCCTCAGTTCTCTCATCCACAGAGGATTGCTTCGCACCTGCCCTGTCAACCCCATAGATTTGTGAGATGTTTGTAAAATAATATCGTAAACTGTTACATAAAATATACACAGAAGTCAATGAATCTTGCTTCAAAAGTTCAAAGCAAGAAAGGGAAGGGCATCGGACTTGATGTCTTAAAATATTCATGAATGTTGTAACAACCCAGTCTTAACTGTTCTAAGAATAATCATCTTTCAATTTGAAAATGCAGAACAAATAGGGTTAATAGAAAATTAAGCCCCAAATAGGTGAAGATTTTTTTCCTAATTGTTCTTCCAAGCATGTATGAAGTTGTAAGTGGTCTGGTTCTTTATTAATTTCATGAGAGGATGTCAACCCTACTTTGACTGGTAAAGTAAAAAATACTGCCTTTGTGTGATGAAACAGAATACTAATTCCAGGGCCTTGATCCCTAGATTTCTGTGGAAAGCTCACGTCTAAGAAAACATTCACCTAGGATTAGACATGTGGACACAGCTATTCCTCTTGACAGAATGCTAGGAAAAGCTTTGTTGCTTCTAAGCAGCTGGTAAACTGGATTATATGAATCTCATTACTGATCAACTTACCTTTTTGCTTTGGCTTCTAAGACACTCAAAACCAGACCTTATAGCTGAATTTTATTTTTTTATTTTTTTAAAGATTTTATTTATTTATTTGAGCAGAGAGAATGAGAGACAGAGAGCATGAGAGGGAGGAGGGTCAGAGGGAGAAGCAGACTCCCTGCCGAGCAGGGAGCCCGATGCGGGACTCGATCCCGGGACTCCAGGATCATGACCTGAGCCGAAGGCAGTCGCTTAACCAACTGAGCCACCCAGGCGCCCAAGACCTTATAGCTGAATTTTAATTACTGGGTGACACTTTACGATGTTGTAACAGTATGTGCTCTGTATGCTTCCATCTTTTGCCATCCTATCTTTTTTCTTTGCCTAATTTTCTCTTACCCTTTTTATTTTTTTGGCTTTCACTTATTCTTAGATTACATAAACTATCTGAAATTCTTTTGGTAATAGAATATAAATTATCTTGCTACATTAAACAGATTCGGGCATCTAGATGGAGACAGTTTGTACAAGAACGTCAAAATATGATTACAGATATTATCTGTAATATTATCTATAATATGGACAGACACCAATCAAGAAGGATGATAGAAGACTGGACACAGGGAACATGTCCAACATCTCACTTTGGTTTCCATAGATTGGTGAACCTGAAGAACACACAGCAAAATTCTACATTTTAAGATCTAGTTTGTGAGAAAGTAAGGATCATTACATGATAGGATAACTAACCTTCCCCCCCTCGCCCTGCCCCCTTTTTTTTTTGGATGGGAGGGAATATAGGTTGAGGCTAAAACTAAATTGGGAGGCAGAGGAGTTCTGTTTTTAGGTCTGCCACTGATCAGCTGGACTGAGACTGAGGAGTCCCTTTTTTCCTGAACCTTAGTTTATTTGTAATATAGGCAATAGATCAGACAACCTCTAAGGTTTCTTAAAAACACTAAACTGAGGCACGTCAACACGATTTTTCTGCTGCCACAGTTCAAAAATACTGTTGCAATTTTTTGGAACTGCTTCCATATCCGGTTTTATGAAGGTCTCAAAACCAGTGTGAATTTAATACCACATCTCATTTTGAACCAAATATGGCATTACCTAGCTTGATTCACATCAGTTTATTAACCTCAAGTGACTTGGCTATTTCTAAAATTAAAATCTTCCTCAGCAGAAAACTTGCCTCTATTATTGTGTTTTAAATTTTAGGCATTGCTCCAGGAAGCAATTCAAAAGTATTTTGAACAAGGACAGCATTGTTGGCCTTAGTATATAGCTAAGACTCTTTCGTCCTTACAGAGATGTTAAATATGAGGAGACTTTAGAACTAATGAAATCTACAGTATGTAGGCTTTTCAAAAACCCATTTTAATACTTAATAGATACATCTCAAACTACCTTTTTCCACTGACCATTTTAGAAAAGCCTATGTTAGGACACAGATCCTCGGACATAAAGCTTTCCTTGATTGTATCTATATGGCAGTGTGGTTCCCAAACCTGACGGCAACAATGAAATCTCCTAGAGATACTGAAAAATACTGATGCCTGCCTCCCACTCCCATACATTGTAATCTAACTGGTATGGAGTGTGACGTGAGCAACAGGATTTCTAAATCTTCCGAGGTGATTCCAATGAATGTCCTACAACTCAGAAATAATTTCCAGATTATGTAAATTGTGTTTCACCTATTACGACAGTGATGGTATCATTTCATCAAAGGAAGTCTTCTAAAATAGACGTTTTCTCCAAGTTAAACATGACTACAACGGGATGGGAAGAAACAGTATCTTGGGAGAAGACAACTGTTGGTTTATAGCCTATTTACAGTTCAGTTTTGTTTTTGATATGCAGTATTTTTTTGAGATGTATTTCCTTCAGAGAGAGCACGAGCAGGAGGGGCAGAAGGAGAGAGAATCTCAAGCAGACTCCATGTCGAGCATAGAGCTGGACACCGGGCTGCATCCCACAACCCCAAGATCATGACCTGAGCCGAAACCTAGTCGGATGGTTGACCAGCTGAGCCACCCGGCACCCCCGGAGTATTTTGCATTAAGCAGCCATGTTCTGTTATATTAAGTTCTAACTTTAGAAGTTGTGATATATTGTGTTTAAGTCCTGAACTCAGCATTAGTGCTGAGTTGCAGTGTTCAAAAAATAGTTACGGTTGCTTAAAGAGTGAAATAGATGAAAATCAAATCCATCTCCCTGCTGCCCTTGAGTTTTCAAAGCTCTGGAGGGGTAGTGCAGAAAGGCGAATCAGCACATTTGCAAAGAGTGAATAGTAACCTCATTCTCATTAGGACGGGCATCACTGTGTACTGACTTCCTACAAAATACTATCGGTTTTAATTATGGAGGACATGATTGTAACAGAGGCTGAAGTACAGATAAATCACAAGCACAGAGGGCGTGTAGAGTGAATGGGTAAAAGCTGCAATACAGGGAGAAGTGGTGGTGATGGCTGTGGAACTAATAAAGTAGGGTTATTACTCTTGCCTCCCCAAAACAATGTGCTGTGTAGTGCCCTCAGAGTAGGCGAGGTGATTTCAAATAAAAGGAGCAAGAGACACTTAGGAGATAACCCCGAAGCCAAAATGTTCTTTGTGTAGAAGTTTAGCTGATGACTTACTATTACACATGACTTACGTACAGGGATCAGAGATGCCTTCTCCATAGTGAGGTATTGCAAGGTGTCCGGCAAGCCACTGGTAATGCCCCAAGTGCCGCATCCCTTACGTTCCGCCTTCAAGGCCACCCCTCTGGTGGAATTGCCCTGTTGTTTTCACTGTATCAACAATCTCTGGTTTTTTCTTTCGCCTTATTTGCTTAGCCCTTCCTGCTACGCTTGATAGCACTGCCCACCATATCTGGAAATGCTACCTCGTTTGTCCCTGTTAATTCTCTGTAAACAGTCCTTCATTTCCACTGCTGATGCCTTTTCCTCTCCCCTAACCCTTGTCTTCACATACTTTCTACTTTTCAGTCTTTAGACTCAATTCAAGGTGGACCATTCCCCAACCTTTCACGCCTATCTCAGAAATTTTTATTTTGATGTCTGTCACTTCTCAGTAAATAAAGTGAACTCCTACCTAGGTGAACGCAGAGTGGTCTGGAGAGTAGCCATCTGTTGGCCCAGTGAGGTATGGGTGTCTGGAATGTCTGTAGCCCAGAGATGACTAAAAGAGTAGCAAGGGAATAAGGCTTGGGAAGGTAGGCAGAGGCCAGATCAATGGATTTAAATGTTATATGTTACACTCTGAACTTTTATGTTTTCAGGAAGAGATGCCATTGAAGAATTTATTTTTAAAAGATTTTTATCTGAGGAAGAGGGAGAGAGAAAGGGAGAACCAGACCCTCTGCTGAGCAGGGAGCCCAATGCAGGGCTCAGTCCCAGGTCCCTGGGATCATGACTTGAGCTCAAGGCAGACGCTTAACCGCCTGAGCCACCCAGGCGCCCCACCATTGAAGAATTTAAAGCAATTACAAGGGAGTGATGAAATTTGCATTTACAAGTAAGAGTAGAGGGAGGGTTGGTGAGACAAGCAGTAAAGGTTGGGAGGATGGGAAGGGAAGCTACTTAAAAGGTAACATCAATAGGATTTGGTGAATGATGGGAGGTAGGAAGTAAGGTGTCTAGAATGGTTTCTTCTGGCCTGAGTAATGGACTGCTGGTAGTGTCATTTACTGAGCTAAGAACAGATTTCAACTGGACATTCAGGAGAAAATCAGGAAATTTTGAGCAGTTAGATAAAACCACCTGAGTCTTACTACACATTTGGTAGTAAAAACTACAGGCATGAATAAAATTATCTAACCATTAAGTTGAAGTGAAATCATAATAGTAGACACTTAATAGAGTGCTTGCTATATGCCAGGCACTGGTTCTAAATCCTTAACATATTCATTTAATTCGTACACCTTTATTTCTCTCTCAAATAAAGAAGAAAATTTGAAGAAAATCTGAAGAAAAGAGACCCACAGATAGAATCTTGCTAAGTATTAACATTAAATGGGAAACTGAAGGAGAGCAAAGCAGACTAAGAAGGCAGGAAGTAAACCAGAAGAAGGATGTCATGGAAAACCAAAGAATTTTTAAGAAGTAGGCTGAGGCACAAGATCCCATGAAAAAATGAAAGTGTCTGTTTAATTTTACTACTGGATTGTTGGACCTCAGTGAGAACTGTTTCTCTTAAGCCAGAATTCAGCTACGGAAGAGAGACAGAGCAATAGGCTATAAAACTTGTTGGAACAAGGAGACCACGAAGGTATGAAAGGAGAGGAAGGCGGAGTACAGGAGGAAGGCACCCCTGCCTCCTTCCTGAAACAGATGGGTAAGGACGGATGCCAGAGGAAGTAGATGTTCTTACAGCAAAGGGTCCAGAAATGGAGGGAGTTCATAGCTCTGGACCACCATGTTCTCTATAAAGAGGTATACTGGTCATTTGGTTAAGCAGGGTAGTAAGGCTGGAATTGTTGCTGGAAACAGACCTAAGGAATAAATGGACAGACTGACTGCTTATTATTGTTCACAAACCCTAGTGAGGCTGGAATACATAGTGGCATTAAGCCATTGTTAATAAGGTTCTTCCCCAGCATACCGGCCACAAAAAAGCAAATGTTAAATTACAGTGGTTTACAGTTTGGAAGGGTTGAGGTTAAAAGCCATACCACTGAGAATTTTAATCAGAAACATTCTGACCATTATATACTGTCTACATCTGTTTCCAAACCTGGACCTTCGGTGTACTTAGAATTTCTGAGACAGAAAAATATCTAGGTAGAGTGATGGAGATAAACTAGGTAGTTCTGACTTAACCCAGTTAGAACCAACTAATAATAAAGTGGTGAGGGGGGAATTATTCACTCAAAATTGAAGTCTCTTTAGCTGTCCTCCATAGCACATGACTTAGATTCTTAGCAAATACGTTACCAAAACCAACACATCTGAGTGTCCAATAAGCTCAGCATTTGGAGAAAGGTGTGTAGGTAGGGTATAAGCTATATATTCTTTGCCTTCCAAAAATATCATGGAGTATGACTAAAGAAATGAAACTATAGTGCAAAAAAGAAGACAATACAATTAAGTGCCAAAGAAAACTGAAATTTTAGGAAATGTCTTAAAAGTAGGTAAAATTTGAGCTTAATTCCCAAATGGGATAAGAATCAAGTGAGTTTTTCTTTGAGCTTTTATTAAAAAGTACCATCAGGTATGTCTGGAAAAGATAAATGATTACAAAGGGGGCTATTATAAAAATCGTTTTCAACCTAAGTAGTATCTGATCAAGTGCACAATTGAAGGCCACAAAACATTAAGTATCAGTTTATTTAAATTTCTAAAAGATGTAAAAATAGACAACTTTCCTTTGTAGTAGAAAGAGCATTAAGATGTGGGGTCACAGGACCTAATTTGGTGTGAAATTAGGAAATTCATTAATCCCTCTGGTACCTCCATTTCCTAATTTGTAAAAGGGCTAGAGTATTACTTGATCTTCTTAACCCTCAAAAGGTCTGTTTGAGAAATTTCTTTAAGTGTGGCCAACATTAAAATAATAAACTCATGGTTAAGTAGAACATTATAGTTCATGATAGTAATTAGAAAATAAGTGGCAACATGCAGATATTTGCCAAATATTAATGTAATGGAACAAACAGAAGGAAAATTCTTTCACACAGTAGTTGGGAAGGAGAAATAAGACTTCTATACTTAACTAAAACAGTGTCTCTATACTAGCTTTTGAATATTGTTATAAATATCACCAGAGACCAAAACACAACATAAATTTCATTTCTATATTTCAGAAAACCTACTTGAATACACTTTGAAACAAGAGTACAACAAAATAGAATATACTTCAAATGTTGAATATACAAACTATTATAGTTCAAATCTGAACACTGGTACTTTCCCTCTTAAAACTTCAACTAAAAAAAAAAAAAAAAAAAGGAAGGAAGGAAAAACAAGAACAAAAACACCAGGTATTAGAGCTACCTGACAAAAATTCATGCTGAGCCTGAACTTCCAAGTGACAGTAGGACTGAAACTGCTATGTCTGCACAGATGCCAGGACTAAGTGAGTGACACAGGCAGGTTACAGCAAAAGGCCAGAGCCAACTGTTAATTTGTCCACAATTAAGAAACTGACAGACTTAAACTACCATATAAAATGTTACATGTAAATTCTATAACAATACTGTGCTAGGTACAAGATTTTTAAAATTTTTCTTTTAATAAAAAAGCTTTACACAAACAAGCCATTAGCTTATTTCAATAAAGAAAACTGAAAATTAGTCTAAGGCCTTTGTTTTAAATCAGCTTAAGCTATATGATATTTAAAAAAAAATCGCACTAGGTCTTTTTTGCTATCCTCTTTCTGAAAAGCTTTTGGATCCATTTTCAATTCACATTCTAAAATACCTATATTAGCAGTCTTCACATAGCACCAGTTAAGTGAGTTCTGTGTGAACACAGTAATAATTGCTGGTATGCATATAAAATGCATCAAAAATTGCTCTATGTAACAATGAGATCACCCATCCCAACCCCTCCCCACTGAAAACTATATAACCTCTTACAGAGTGTTAGTGTTCCAAGTCTTAGTGTAACTGGATATTGTAGTGAGTTGCTTGGTCCCTTTCAATCCATTTTCCTTATTGACGGGTTCAGTTGTTTCCTACTGTAAGAGGCAGTTTTCTGTCAGCATCTCCGCATGTAGTTCATTTCCCACTGAAACATGGGATAGGTAATTTATTTCCAGTAAGTCTGATTGTTTTCTTAGATGCATTAAAAATGTTTTAAAGTCTTCTTTTGACTTTGCTTGATGACCTCCCTTGCAAATATTTATGTTAGTACTATCACTAACAGTCTCAAGTCCACGGTAGAGCTGCTATTTTATTTCTCACACGTCACTAGTCCTTCCGTTTTCATAGCTACAGGAAGGGCAATAGCTGAAGGCGCACTGACAACCACTACGTGGGTCACTGTCTTACTTCCGTCTGCTGGTTTTTCTTCTTGTACCAGCTGCAAAGTTTTCACGTCATGTTCCTGCTTTTTTGCCACTGCTTCTGATTTGACCTCTGGCCCCTTTATGACCGCGCTGATAACTCGCGGAGGAGTCTGGCCAGATGCCTGCTGAGTAGGCACTGATAGTCTCATTACAGGTGTACCGTGGGCTATTGAAACGGGGGTAAGTGCTCTCACAGCCAGCGGGGTTCCAACAATGTTAATGCTTCCGGACCCAGTCAGATTTGACTTTGTCTGCAGCTGACACTGTGCAAGTTGTGTAGCTGGGATGGTGATAATTTTGGCAGGCTGCATGGTGATTTTGTCTCCGTTTTCAGAAGAGGCTGGCATCACAGTAGGGATCGTCTGAATAACTACCTTGGGAGAGGTTGCTGTTGTTGGACTAGTGCTGGTTATTAACGGTGCACCTGCATTAACTGACTGAACTGCCACAGTCGAGATTTTCTGACCCAACGATGTCATTACAACAGGTACTTGCATTGCCACACGAACTGTCCTAGTAAATTCAAAAAAAGTTGATTTAATGTTAAATTAGACAATAGGTCTCTTGAGCAAGAAGATGAATGCAAACCTATCATGTACAAAACTAATGCTCCCAAATTTTACGGGTGTACTGACAATTTAGAATATATGAAATATTGTGAAACAGATCTTAAAAAACAAATGCCCACGTTAAGTTCCATCTATAAAACCATAAAAACAATTCGAGTTAGTTGAGACCTCTACTTTAACAAGAACAATAAAATACATTTAAAAGATCAAACACTCTTCCAAGTCTTGACGACAGTGGGGCTTTAGACTGCTAACATTAAAAAAGGTACATAGTTTCCTTCACTGACCTTGGAGCTGCTGTTGCTGACACAGACGCGGTGGTAGTAGGAGACCTGGATGGAGGATCATGACCAGGGGAAGTGATGTTTACAACTCTAGCTACACCCTTCTCTGCCCTGGAGCAGTTCAGAGATGAGTTTTTTCCACCACGAACAGAGGTTGCTGCTTTCAGGAGACTCTCTGCAGACAGTGACACTCGTTCTAAGGATTTTTCGTCAGTAGCTGCTGCTAAATCTTCATTACAAGTTTCACTTTTGTCGTCATCTATGACCACTATGTTTTTGGGCATATCCTTGAACTGATACACAAGCCTCTGTCCTTCAACCTTTGCAAGAATACCCCTTTGGTAATAGTATCTGTAACAGAAACAGTACTAAATGAAGCAAGTGTATTATTACATCTTTTACCCCCACCCCCCACCCCCAAAACACCATGTAGAATGGACACTAACAGAAACATTCTCTTACTCCTGTTAGAGATGAGAAGGAGCTCTTACTGGCTGGGGATTGTTCAAAAGGCTAAGAACTTGGATAAGAATGAAGTTGGAACCTGGTGCCACAGTTCCTTTAACCTTTAGGTTTATAAAAGAGCTACAAGTTCTCTTTCTTAAAGGAAGTAATACAACCTAAATACCAAATATTTTACTGTATCTTATGACATCAGTAAAAATTCAACTGTGATTTACACAGGTTATAAAAACAATCTGATGTTAATGTAGAAAAATTACTTAAGCAATGCTTAGTAGAGATAAATCTGCGGGATATGTGAATATTGTCATATAAACTATGTGTCCATTTACAAACACCCCTAATTAGAAGAAGCCATGTACACTGCAAAGTTTTGTGGGTTTCTCAAAATTTCGTATTAAGATAAATCCATTATAACAAACTCATAGGAACTAAAAAGCTGTATTAGAAACTATTTCATTTGGGTTTAATTTCCTTAAAGGTCTTCAACTTCTCTTATTAAGGAATAGTCCTAAGTGCAAAAGCACATTTTTCTGCAAAAATGGGTTTCCAGTGATGGCTGAAATTTTAGATGTCTAGACCAAAATCTTTCTCTCCATTTACCTCCAAACCTAAGAAACTCCTCTAGAATATCCCCCCAAATTAAAGTTATAAAAAGGGGTTTTTAGAGCTTCTTTTTAAACAACTAATAGACAATACAGAAATATGTAGGTTTTATTTGAAAATTCAGTCTCTTGTGTACCTACCTCAGAGCTCGTCCCATAGTTTCATAGTTCATATCTGGCTTGTTCTTATGCTTTCCCCAAAGTTTAGAGACAGCCTTTGAATCCACAAGCTTGAATATGCCTTTTTCTCTCTGAGTCCATTTAATATACCGAGGACAAGTATTTTTATCTTGAAGTAGATCTAAAAGAAACTCCCACAAATAGGTTGTGTTTCCTTCGAAAAAATGATAAGACATTGGTTAAAAATTCATTAATATAAAGCAAATATTTAGGGGCACTTCAGTGGCTCAGTCGGTTAAGCGTCCAACTCTTGTTTTCTGCTCAGCTCATGATCTCAGGGTCATGAGATCGAGTCCCACATTGGTCTCTGCGCTGGGTATGGAGCCTGCTTAAGATACTCTCTCTCCCCCTCTCCCTCTTTGCCCCCCCCACCTCCACTCACCCTCAATCAAAAAAAAGAAAAGGCAAATATTTAATTATGCTGGACAAAAATTCATTAACTACTGGTAAAACAAATGTCCCAAGAGTCTGTCATTAAGTACTAGACTATATGAGCATCACTTATACAGTGTCAAATTGTGTTGCCTAGTAAATTATATATACACTATATTTCATTATAACATAATCCTAAATATACTTGTTTGCTGGTTTTCAAAAATAATATCCTATTTATGTTTACAGTTATGATACTAATATAACAGAGAGGTCCTGGATTTTATACTATTCTACATCACCCTATCCTAAATTTTGAGTTCAGTAAAGGCAAGGCAAAGGCATAATGCATAGCACAAAGTGAACCTGAATTAAACAGAATCCAATTTATTAATTTACACAGATCTAAACCATGAATAAATTTATTTGCATCAGTATGTTTATTTTATGATCAGCCCCAATTCTATGATCAAAATTCATCAGAAGGCACTTACTTGTTGAAAAGACAAGCAATACACGGTGAAATCTGCAAAACTTTTAAGATTTTATCTTTTTTACATAATCTCCACACCCAACACAGGGCTGGAACCCACAGCCCCGAGATCAAGAGTTGCATGCTCCACCGACTGAGACAGCCAGGCACCGTGAAACTTACTTTTCTTTGATATATTTTCTTTGATTGACCTTTATGCAGGAACTCTGAAGTACATGTCTTATAAAGTACAAATTACCCATGACCCCTTTAAACATTATCTTTTCATTATCCTCTGGACCACTAGTCAATTTTCTATCAATGAGACCTACCTTCCTCTAAAAACAGGGTTGTTTTTTTTTTTTTAATTGCTAATCTCTTTCTACTGACCATACCCAGTACAGTGAAGACAAGCAATGTATTAGGATTGCATTATATATGAACAGTTGAGTAAATACATTTGTGCTTCAGTCTTAAAATATGAACTCCTTAAACAAACACTAAAAAGTAACATGGCAATTCCTTTAACTAGTCAAGTATTCATCAAATGCTAACTATATAACATCTGATCACATGACTAGCAAAATTTGAAAATGAGCTATTTCTGCAGAGTAGCATAGTTCTTCATCATACACTATGCTCAAGTGTAGTTGAGGATACAGAAGAGCATTTAAAACTTGGTCCCTGCTTCAAGGAATTTACAATTTAGTTGGGAAGGGAAAAGTAAATGACAAGTTAACAATACAACAAAGAAGTAAGAGTTTGTGAAGCGACACAAGATCACAAGGCAATGCATTATATTCCAAATGAATGACAGAAAAGTCTGGGATTTCAGGAATAAAAATAAAGCGGATTGGTAAGACAGAAGACTTGGAAGATGACTAAGATTTGCGTAGAGGAAAAGGAGGGAATCTGGGATTCAGATAAGGAACTTAATCCCCAAAAGAAGAAAGCATAACTTTTTTTTTCTTTCCCTTTGGAGAGTGGAGGATGGGCAATTAGTGGACAGTAGTTATGAGGAGATCAGGCTTTTCAGAATGCTGTTTTTCTTTTATTCCCTTCATAAAGCCTCTAGGGCCAAAGATTCTTAAGTTGATCAAAAGAACAGAAAAGAACCCCGAGAAGGAGAAAATTAGAATACACATACCACCACTGAGTCACTAGGTCATCTCTAGGCTCCTGCTCACTATCCCTTTACTATCATCAAATCTAGATCCAAATTACAGGCTTCATGAGAAGAACCTCTAAGGGTAGGAGGCTTCCAAACTAAGTTACTGCTACTCAATCTAAATCCTGATGCTCTTCCTCAGGCATTTCATTTTCATTCTGGAATTATCTGAAAATTCAATAAATTTGGTAACCCATAGTTGAGACCAGTGTGCATCTTTTAACCTGAAAAGGTTAACCTTCAACTTTACGTCTGCGTCTCTGAAATCCCACTGCATCAGCATCAATACTTTGTAAAAACTCTTACTAGTAAACCATATGTAACTTTCAGCTACATTAAGATATGTACTTGGGACATTTCTGTGATCAGGAGATTATCAGGCCCTATGAGTGGACATAGTAAAAGTGAGCTTATTGTGGAAGAAACTTCTGAATAACATAAACAATGCCTTATAACATAGTAGGGATCTGAATGCATCCATGTCTGTGGAATGAGACTCGACAACATTCCTCAGTTTGTCTTTGGATACTCACTCCACCCCAGTCCCCATTCTCAAGTTAAAACTGTAAGTTCTAAATCTCACTTATTCAGAAAGGGAAGCCTTCTTTATCAGATAAGGTAGTTCTCATGAAGCCTATAACAGACATTATCAGCATTTTACAGAAGAAACACTGCATTTTTTTTTTCTTCAAGATTTTAAAGTACTTCCTACACTCATTGTGGGGCTTGAACCTACAACCTCATGACAAGAGTCACAAGCTCTACCGACCGAGGCAGCCAGGTGCCTCCAGACTGGATTTTTAATCTTTAATCTTCATATTCAACACTTTGCCTCAAGTTTGATAATAAAAGACTGAAACTTTAGTAAAAGGTGATTTTGATTGTTAAGAACAGGTCATCACAAAATTTTTCTCCAGTGTTAAGCATCAGGTCTTTGAGTACAAGAGACCACTGATGATGGGAATTATTTAAAAAACAGTAATAACTGTGTATTTACAGTTTAGCTTTGTAATTTTTAAAGTTTTCAACATAAAAGACAAAACCTAAGATGTTAGAAATGTAAAATGACCAAAGACAAAGAAATAAGACAAGTATCCTAAATCTGTCCCAAATTCAATTTCTCAGTTCCTGAATAAATTAACAGTTCAATGTAACTACATTTTTTGGTCTAAATTTCTTGATAGACTTATTGGAGAAATTTTTTTTTTTTACTAGAGATTTAATTTTTGCTCTATTTAAAATATGTCATGTGACAGCAGAAAAAAAATAAATTTAGATATAAGACCACCTGTTGAAGATGGAATAAATTTGAATATATTAATCCAAAATGTATCCAACTATTAAATACTGGTCCGAAAACATTCATTAAAGTGATAAATTCTGGTTATCAGATTATCAGAACACACCTGAAATCATCTAAAAAGAGCACAGAATGTGGGAGGCTTCTCATTAATTTTTGTTTTTAATGAAAGTATACAAATTCTAAAGCAAAAATATGGTTTTTGTTCTGACCTGACATGACTGAAACTGGTTGACTAGGAAATTAAATTCAACTTGCCTTGAGAATTCTTGCATTACTTCTATCAGTTAAGAAATTATGTATCAGAAATAAGTCTTAGTTATAAACCCACCCCTTCGATTCTAAGCGGGTCTATATGAGGATGAGTACTGTTATACATACATACCTCCCCCAAGAACAATGGCTCTTAAAAGGCTGTGCATCAGATTGCACTTTTTAGATGACCTTTTCCAAACACAAATGCCTACTACCTTTTACTCCCCCTGTAGCTTATCTATGGCTATAGAATCTCAGTGGGGTACAAACTGGGAAAAAGTTCCCCAGGCGATGCTCATATATCCCTGATTAATACCTACTACCAAAGACGGTACTTCCACCTGTACGTGTCCTAGAAATCATTTTCTTACCAATGCAAAAATGTCAACTGAAAAAAAAAGTCATCTCACCTCCAAAACAGCCCTCCCCAAATTACCTTTTCCTTCTCTGGGTTTCTTCTTTATACCTAACTCAGGAGACCCATTGGAAATTGGTGATTGCTGGGTCTTTGGTTTACGGCCAACTGAAAAAAAATAAGATTGAAACCATACATTGAAAACAGGAAAAATAACAGAAGCATGATTAGCAGACTCTTTGATAACACATTATTCATGAAACTGGACACTAATTTGTGGATTAATATACTGAGTGTATATAAAAAGCTGCATTTAAAAGGAGCAATAAAATCGGAGGGGTAGACGAACCATGAGAGACGATGGACTCTGAAAAACAAACAGGGTTCTAGAGGGGAGGGGGGTGGGAGGATGGGTTAGCCTGGTGGTGGGTATTGAGGAGGGCACGTTCTGCATGGAGCACTGGGTGTTATGCACAAACAATGAATCATGGAACACTACCTCTAAAACTAAGGATGTAATGTATGGGGATTAACATAATAATAATAAAAAAAATAAAAGGAGCAATAAAAGCACTTCTGCAATTTTAGATTACAGCACTTAGTTGGCAGTAATTTCAGTGTATATAGCAAGTCAGGTACTACCCACCTATTATTTACTCAGTCAGAGCCTCAATTTGCTAACCTCTTCCAATAATGCAGCAGTGGAAACAAATTCTAGTACAAACTTTTTTCTTTTCTGTTCTACAGGGCTCTTAGAAAAACTTTACCTACCTATTGCAGAGGATCTGATAATCTGGGAAGCCCTTTGAGCTCAAATGAGGAAAAGTAAAAAATATTTCAAACACTCTACTGCTCTGAGCCAATCCATTCATCAGAATTTAAGCATAAGTGTTCAAATTTCCCCACCTCAATGTGCAGGTACATTATAAGGATAAAAAAAAAAATCTTTCAATTAATTATTTCGTATGTCTAGTAAGTGTGCCCTTCCTTTAGCTTCTCTTCACTTCCACCAAAAGGTGCTCTCAGACAGACTAGCATCCACAACGAACAGAAAAGCAAGAGCTATACTTATACTAAAAAGGGCGTAAGGCTGAAATGCATTGTTTTCAATTCTCAGCACTGATAAAAGAATGCTGGCAGATGAGGGGAAGCCTCCAGAAAGGCTGGGAATAGTCAAGTATATTATAATTTGCAGATTAAATATATTATTACTAATTTGGTGATTGTCGTACATCTGGGATTTCTGATGTCACTTTGGTCTTCATTAGCAAGGATTATTTAGAGCTAAAGACTTAAAAATCAAAGTGTTTTAATTTATTTCAAAATACATAGCTATTATATTCTAGGATTTCATTATGGTCACTAATCAATAAGATGTGTGTTCTGGCAAAAATTAAAAGGGAAAGTTCACTGGTCTCATTAGAACAGAGATTAATCTCTCAATTTAAATAATATTTAGAATGCAAATCAATCAGTAATAGGACTCAAACAAAAACGAAAAAACCTCAACTTCCTTCATCGAAATGTTAGCCCAAAAAGGCTTAATTTATTTTCATATAAAGCAGTATTTCCCAAATCATACTTCTTAATAGTTTATTCATCAGTCGGAAACAATGTTCTACAGTAATTAACTTTTAGAACACTGCATGTTACCTTCTCTTGCAGATTCACAACACACATTAGAATGTCAGAAGCTCTGGAAATAAAAAGGCGGCTCTGCTATTCAAAAATAACCTACCTAACTTAGTATGTGCCAAATGAACTTAAGCATATATATTTATGCATTATATATAATTTTTAAATGGTCACTAAGATCATCTATTTTCAAATATATAAAATCAGTATTAAATTGGCAAATTATTTCCTGGTTTATATCATACCACATAGGCAGATGAACCTATTCATCTAGAGGTCTTGGTTCCCAGCTATTCATGGTCTTTTCCATCTTCTTTTAAATCTAAAAATTAGGGCACATGGGTGGGTCATTCGGTTAAGTGTCTGACTCTTGATTATGGCCAGGGTCCTGATCTCAGGGTCGTGATACCGAGCCCTGCGTTGGGTGGGCATAGAGTCTGCCTGAGATTCTTTCTCCCTCTTCCTCTGCACTGCCCGCCCCCCCCCAGCCCCTGCTTGTGTGTGCACGTGTGTGTGCGTGCACACGCACGCGCACCCTCTCCCTAAAAAATAAAATAAAAATAAATCTAAACATTTGTAAGTATTTTGTAATAGCTCCTATCAAATATAACCAGCCAAAGGCTACAGTGGGGAAGTGGGTAAACACGGCTATTTATATGTATGCCTTTTGCTGTTTAAACATTTAAACAGCAGGAAGTAATTCTTCCTTCTAATTCTCTAATTCATACCTCTTGCAACATACATGTAATCTATTACATGAGGAAAGGCACTCAAATCTTACTCTTCACTGTGTCCCTCACAGTAATGAGTACAGACACATCAAAATCACAGCAATTTGAAATACCTCTAATAAATGAAAGGAAATACCATTATTTCTAACACAAGTTTTCTTATTTTTGCCTTTTTGATTTTTTCCTACTCCAAAATGTAAAGAAAGAGATACAGAAGAAAGTGGAATTAGATGAGTCCCATTTATATAGAATTTCATTTCTTTCAAGTTTTACCTCTGATTCAAACAGGAAAAAGACCCACTTGCTGCCCATCTCCTAGGGATGTTGAAGATATATGGGGCCTTGGGCCTCACCCATCAGGATCAGGTGAGCAGAAGTTTCAGCAGGAGTCAAATAAATAGTAAGTGGAAATGCTCTTTACCCACTGGTGAGTTTATTCCACTTAAAAGTCCTTACTGGCAATCTTGGTGTTTTAAGACAGAAGGTATACGGAACAAAATAGCATTGGGCTTTTTATTTTAAGGCCCACAAAAGAGTAGGAAGATTAAAAATAGAGAAAATAAAATTAAATGTTTTAAAAAAATAACCAAGTACCTAAAAGGATCAGAAGGCAGACAAGTAATGAACCTCTAATCTTCCTTCTGCTTGTCCAACATTTGTTATCATTCCATTTTCAGACAACTTTCTCTAGAGCTCAAATACTAACTCCTTTAAAAACAGAATGAACGTGTTAACACAAAATTAAAATCTCAATTTGTTGATTCTTTGAGAATACCTAGGTAAAGATAACATCAATCATAAATCTACAGCATGTATTTCCTATGTCCCTTGATCGGGGGAAAAAAAATACCAGAAAAAATTTCTCCCACTTTTCCAGAAATTTATAAATATACTCTACCTTTTTTCTTTTTCATTGGTTCATGGCTATCTGGTGATGTCGGAATAGGAGAGGTATCCATTGGTTCCGATTCTTCAGTTGACACCTCCACTACAGTTTCTGTGATGACATCTGGCCTCATAGCAGCATGGATAAATTCTGGAGTTGATACACAAGGAGGGACAAACACTTCCACTATAAAAAAAAGTCGAAAAATTAAAATTTCCCACCCCCATTAATACTTCTTCATGCGGACAATTCAATATTTAGTAGAGGTGAGGTTTATTAACAATTCATCAAAGCCGGGTAAGAGCCTAACGTTAATTTGCTGAATACGCAATACGATCTAAAGTATATAAGGAAATAAATGCAAAGAAAATTAGCTTGAAGGAAATGTTAATCCTGTAGGTAAGGTGGGGACCATGAGCAATTACACCACCCCTTCTTCACATTTTTACATACATTCAAGCTCACTGCAGAAGACTTTGAATTATTTTGACAATTGGGAAAACATAATGAAAATAAGACAACAGAATAATAGTGACTTCTTCAGTAATTACTTTCCTTCCTGGTACCCATCAATATTCTCTAACTAGGTAATACATGTACATGGTATAAAATTTAAAACATTTAATAAATGTGTGTGTCTTCAGTGAAAAGAAAGCATTTACAGATCACTTCAAAATATGAAAAGGAAAACCTGCTGATTATAGCCCAATGAATATCATCTTTCAATATTTAAAATTTTATTTAATGTAACAGTCCTGATGTTTTGGGTCACTAAAACAGAAATAGAAACTGCCATTTGGTATTCTATTACATACAATAATGTTGCTCCAGCTTCCTTCCAATGTGCACGAATAATCAGAATATGACATTTCTATTTCAATTAAGGGACAGCTAATAACACTACTGTGAAATAATACATTGACCAATATGCCCTAATTCTCTTCTCATATCCCTGAATAATACATGAATAATACTATTCTCATTAAAAAGTACAGTTGCTCTTGGTATTTATAAATCCCTATAAGAAGGGCCAATATTATTGTATTAAGTCAAATTAACACTTGGACATTAAAATTAGAGCACAAAATGACTCTCAAAGGCAGTCTTTTTTTTTTTTTTTTTTAAGATTTTATTTATTTGCGAGACAGAGAATGAGAGACCGAGAGCATGAGAGGGAGGAGGGTCAGAGGGAGAAGCAGACTCCCTGCTGAGCAGGGAGCCCGATGCGGGACTCGATCCCGGGACTCCAGGATCACGACCTGAGCCGAAGGCAGTCGCTTAACCAACTGAGCCACCCAGGCGCCCTCAAAGGCAATCTTAAAGAAAAAAAAAAGGGGGGGGACCAAAAGAAAAGGAAACTCCCAGCCTGAGGGAGTATGAAGAAATGGTAGAAGCTATCTCCTCTCTCCACCATGGAAGGTTCTCTGGAGCTACTGCCTATTTATCTCAGTCGGTTAAGCAGCTGCCTTCGGCTCAGGTCATGATTTCAGGGTGTGGGACCTAACCCTCTCCCTCCCACTTGTGCTCTCTCTTGCTCTCTCGCTCTCTCTCAAATAAATAAAATCTTAAAAAAAAAAAAAAGGCAACACCTGGTGTTTCTTATAAATAAATAAGTAAGTAAGTAAAAGACAGAAAGTAGTCATGGGCAGCAAATCCCCCAACCCCATCTGCCATTCCCTTAAGGACTACAAAGGTTTATAATTTACCCAGAGTTAAGGAAATAAGACATAACGATATAAATAGCAATTTAACAAATATTTATCTGTCTATAATGGGCATTTTCTGTTACCATTTTAAAAAATTATTTAAGACTAGGGAACTTTGACAAATAAAGATCAAGTATTGCTGTCACAGGTATTCATGCATAATAAACCTTGAGAACAACAATAATCCTCATGTATTTAAGAAGAAACTTATTTTAGTATGCAAAGTGATATGACATGTTTAATATAAAAAAGAACAATTCACATACCAGGACTTCTTGAATCCCTTAAGCAGGTAGGAGATTCCATATGAAGCAGGGCTTCAGCAGCTTCAATTGTCTTATCTGTACAGTGTGCATTACTGCTATGAACTGACGCTTCCACTGGGGGGAAATAAGCTCTACTCAATTAAAAATGTACAGGATACATTACTAAATTAAAACATATTACTCTATGAGAAACAAATTAACTCATGTGAATAACTCTAAGTCACTGATACATATTAGTCCATATAAATTATTTACAGAAATAATTTAAAAAACAATCTAGTATGTACACTCTGCAAAACAAACAATTATAAAGCAACTATTGAGAATGATTAGAAATTACTGAGAAATTTCTGAATCTTATCCAAAGGAAAACAGGGACCCTTGAAATTTGAACCCTGTACCAATTTCAGGCAAAACTAACTTGGAGGTGGGGCGGGAGGGAGGATGGTTGTAGATTAACAATCCTAGGAGGAGGTCAATTATGTGTCTTGATACACACCCACTAAAATCAAGGGCAATACCTTGCAGAATCAGTCAGAAAAGGTACTTCCAAGTTAGTTTAATGAATTAGTTGGTTCTTACAGACCCTCCTAGGTGCGCGCACTAGCACAGCGCCAGACACCTGGGAACTCTATTCCCAATGACCTAGTCTCTTCGAGATTTCACTCAACTTTCCTGCGTTTTACCCAATAAATTTGTTTTTAAAGTTTCTATGTTTGTTCGTTTTCCCATGAAGCCTTTTCTAATTCTGCCACCTTCTGTAACTCTTTTGGCACTTACTTTATGCTTTGCTGACTGAATTACTTGTGAAAAGTAAAGCATACAGCAATCGTTTGGCTTTTCGAGTCCAACAGCTTGGGTCCTAGTCGCTGCTACTTATTTGTTACCCTAGACCAGCAATTTAATTTCTTGTAAGGAAACTGATTTCCTTTTTTACAAAACAGGTGTATTACCTCAGATAGTTGTGAGAATTAAGTAAGGTGATACCCATAAAAAACATGTACAATGCCTGGCATATGGGTAAGAATTCAATAAATGGTGATAATTTCTTTTTTTTTTTTTTAAGATTTTATTTATTTATTTGACAGAGAGAGACACAGCGAGAGAGGGAACACAAGCAGGGGGAGTGGGAGAGGGAGAAGCAGGCTTCCCGTGGAACAGGGAGCCCGATGCGGGGCTCGATCCCAGGACCCTGGGACCATGACCTGAGCCGAAGGCAGATGCTTAACGACTGAGCCACCCAGGCACCCCAAATGGTGATAATTTCTTATCACTACTGTAAGATTATAAGTTCCTTGAGGTCAGGAGGGTTATCTTAATTCATCTTTGTATCTGCTATAATTCCCAATATAGATTTTTAATACAATAGGCATGCAAGTATTTCTTTTATATATTAAAGTTGAGGATAACCCACAGACCTTATAGGAAAATTGGCCATTCAAGCACAAACTTATATTAATGATATATTAATTTCACATTCTAACTTAAAAATATTGAACATTCTACTTGGTTCTGAAACATGAATATATAACAGTTTCTAACTGGATAGATTTTTCTCAAGATGTCCTCTAAAAAGACTAAAAGGAAGTATTTGTATAAATTCCATAAGCTATATTACAAATTCACAAGTTCTACACATTAAAGATAGGAATCTTTTAAAACTGTTTCCAGGAAACTTTTAATTGGAAAAAAAAAATTCACTTGATCTCAAAATTCACCAAATGCTAAAGCCTAAGCCTTAAACAGCAGTCATTTGGAGAGCATTTATTAAAAAAAAAAAAAAAAAAATCCAGCGACTGTTTTACCACCTGTTGCACATCATCCACACTCTCAACCAAGGTACTGGGTCTCTCCAGTTGCTCTGTCCATTTATGGAAATCTGCTCAAAGCTAAACAGTTCCGGAGAGGCAGCCAAACCTCTAAGTAAATCTATCTTTAGGTGACCCTGCTTACTCTTATCTGCTGCTTCACTGAAGCAAAGGATTCAATCAGTGCTTCTAGCTCAACTTTAAGAAACTTAGTAAGTATAAAATATATTACCATTCTCAAGTAATTTTTTCAAAGTGCCTTCCCACAATACTCACATATACTAAAGAACCTTGGAAAGCAAAGTCTCAAGTTTTTAAAGAACTTCATTCTCTTTAAAGTCTGCTTGTGTTGCAATTTAGGTGTTGTCTTAGGTGCTATTAATAAACTACCCTGGGTAAACTAATTCCTTATGTAATTGTATTAAGACACACCCTAAAAACCTTACCATATTAAAATCAGAGCTTCAAAGACTTGATAATGCAGCAATAGAATTTTATCCAATTTTTTCATGTTTTCAGTTATAAACAAAATGAAACGTGCCTAACAATTACAAATAATGCTGCCCTTTTTATGTGGTTTGAGGCACATTTTTAAAACCATGATTTCATGTTAGTTATGTCAGTGGAAATTATTTCTTTTTTTTTTTTTTTAAGATTTTATTTATTTGACAGAGAGACACAGCAAGAGAGGGAACACAAGCAGGCGGAGTGGGAGAGGGAGAAGCAGGCTTCCCGCTGAGCACGGAGCCCAATGCGGGGCTTGATCCCAGGACCCTGGGATCATGACCTGAGCCAAAGACAGATGCTTTAACGAATGAGCCACCCAGGTGCCCCGGAAATTATTTCTTAAAAGTATATTTTCTTGCTCATATTTCTGACCTCAAACTCCCCTTTCTCCCAAATTCAACATATTATTTCCCAGGACTGTTTTACATTTACGGAGTAAAACAAAACACAAACAAACTTAAGAATAACATTTATTAATTCATATTTTAAATTTAGGATGAGAATATCAAAAATGCATACGTTTTCTGTGAATTATCAATCAGGAGATCTAATGATCTATGTACAGTCAACATTTGGTTGTTGAGCATTTACCATATGTCAGACCCTGTGTTAGAAATCCGAGACAAATGTTAATAGATCTCTAGCCTTGTGAAGGTTATACTAATAGTTCAGGAACATAAATGGTAGTATCAAAAACATAAATGGAAGTAAAATATTTCAAAACTTAAAAAAGGTATAAAATAAAGTTATTCTATAAGCTAACAGCTTAAGTGGAGCACTGATTTCTCTTTTTTTTTATGCTTACTAATTTTACTTTTTGTCATTTTTATTAACTAAAATAACCCAAAGCACATGCAAACAAACACCTAAGAGCTCATACTTAGATCAGTTTTTACAACAGCGTACCTATCAATTTCCAAGAATACTTTACCATTTTGAAAAAGCACTTTTTTCTTTTGTTGATATAGTTTTTGATAAAAGAAATTTAAGAAATATTTCTCTTATTCAAGTTTCTGTAATTTTTTAAAACTTCAATTCATTTGGTTCAGCTCAGTAATTCAAATACAATTTAAACTAGAATTATGCACAATTCTTAAGGATAAACATGAGTTTAACAGTGTTGTACAATCAAAGTAAGCAATTAAGCAAACTACAAGCAAGAGCTGAAAACTCCTTATCTCTTACTTAAAACTTGATTTATTGGTATCTTTCTAGACATGTGTATGAAATTAATGGGACCAAAAAAAAAAGCAACTCATTTTAAAAATAGAAACAATGAAGCCAAAAGTAATCTGACAGGTATCATTTTCTACTTAAGACTAGTACTTGGTGTTGCTAGTCAATCCCTCTTGAAGAAATAAACGTTATCAAACAAATTTCAAAACAATTTTAACTTTAATCATAGTGCCAAAAATCAAATTTGCTTATGCCCTCCTTCACTATTGGTAGGAGTCTTCTTGTTCCATTTCCAGCTTTCTAATCAACTGGTGTTTGTATGGTAGACTATTCCAGACTCACTCAACAGCTGTTACAAAATACCAAACTTGGTAATTAAGTCTGACAAGAGACATACCTCTCAGCTTTGCAGAAGCGAATGCTGGCAATGGATCTAGCTCATAACAAAGTTCTTAAAGTCAAAACTAAAAATTAATAGCAATTTAATTTGAGAGCAATGGAAAAAATTAGAAAACACTTCCTTAAAAGATAGTAGTATGCCCCTACAAGCAAGACCATAAACTAATAATGCAAGGTCATCACTCAACCAGGCACGTGACTTACCTCAGCTCATCTTCTAATGCCCCAAGGCATAATAGGTAAGTGAAAAACACAAATGAATGCAATAAAAAGGGGGAAAAGGTAAAAGTCTGGGACACTCCATCTTTTCTTGTTCCTCTTTGACTTTTTAATCAATAGTTACAATTTAAAAGTTTAGAAGATAAAAAGAACTAAAATTTTCTAAATAGAGCAGCCTGATGAAAATACAACATGAGCCACATTATAATTTTTAAATTTCCAAAAGCCAGATTTTAAAAAGTGGAAACTGAAATTAATGCCTTTCATTTAACCCAGTATATTAAAAATACTGTCATTTCAACATGTAATCAATATGAAAGTTGTCCACAGCTTCAGTTTTTATGTTTAAATTAAAATTTTAGAAAATTAAAAATTCAGTTTCTCAGCCACTCAGTAGCCACATATGGTTAATGCCTATGGTACTGAAAAGTGCAGAGTAAATAAAACTGTAATATAGCTACTCTCAAACTTTTCTGGTCAAAGGCAACTTTCATACTCAAATTATTGAGGACCACAAAGAGATTTTGTTTATATAAGTCCTATTTTAAATTTTATTCTATTTGAAACTGAAATTAAGAAGACATTAAAGTATTTATCAATTCATTTAAAGTAATAAACCCAGTACTTCTAAGTAGTATTTTAATGAAAAATAGCTTTTCTACAACAAAAAAAATTAGTGAGTAGCTTTGCTGTACATTTTAGTAAATCTTTTTAATACATGGTAGAAAGTGGTTGGATTTATTTGATTCTTCATTAAATTTGTTGTAGTATCAAGTCAGATAGCCTCTAGAAAACTCTGAACACTTGTGAAAGTGAAAAGGCAAATAATGTCTTAGAATTCTTATGAAAACAATTTTGACTTCACAGACTCCCTGAAAGAGTCTAGGGACTCTGCAGATCCTCAGCTCAGAGATTTTTGTTTTTAAGGACTGCAACTAATATTTATTACCAAACAGAAAAATAACACCCAAATTCTATCTTGTTTCTTTAAGTTTTAGCTTCTAA